GTGTACATGCTAAAATAGACAACATATGACAATAACTAATACATCATTCCTGTATGTTTAACAAATCCAATGTAATTCATACAAGCATCTGAGTTGTTTCTTTGAAGAAAGTTAACATATCCATACCTGCTATTACTTCTGCATCATAATTATGCGATACGCTAAACCATAATAAAAAAAAAAACAGTTGTGAATTTTATGTGGAGTGATTTGGGGTCCTAAGAAAAAAACTAAACTGTGGGATTAAGTTGACTTTGCTTTTGCTTGTTGAAAGCCCCTGGACTAAGTACTACAAAAGTGCCCATGGGAACCCTAGATTGACATCTCTCAGGGAAGTTATGAGAGCACTCCTAGCAAGTTCCTCTCAGCTCAGGCCGGGTCCAAATCCCCCAGGTCCCACTCTTGATGAGAAAGCCCAGGCTGAAACAAGACAAGACGAGATGTGCCCACGGGGTTTATTTGGGCTGACAGCTTTTCTGCATATCCTATGCCCAGAGAAGAATCATGCAACCCAAACTCCAGATTCCCACACAGGAGACTTACTTACATTTATCCTGCAATGAATCGTGGGGGACTTCTCCCTGTGGGCTTTCTTCCAAGTCTCCATAATGCAGGACTTTGTGGTTTGGTGAAAGCCGACAATACCAAAATTTGTCTGAGGAAAAACAAAACACACACACACACAAGTTTACAAGGCAGGCAAGGTGATTCTAGATGCCAGAAAAGATCAACATGCTTATTTCGTCATTCCCTTGCCAGGCGGATAAAAAGGCAGTTCATTTGATTTGGAGTCAGCTGGGATATCATTCCGTCTCACAGAGAAATGGAATCCTGACACATGCTGCGATCGAGATAAAGGGACACATTTTGTGTGGGTTCACTTCTTTGAAATATCTAGGTTAGATAAGGGTATAGAGATCAAAATGTATGTTCCCAAGGGGTGGCAGCAGGGAGGGGGAAATGCTACTCTGAAAAGAGGACACGGTGCCCTGGTTCATGCTGTGGGTTAGGCACTGCGTTGATCACCACAAGGCAAGGCTCACACCACGAGGCGATTCACGCGAGAACGCGGCTGTCCGCGCTTGTACAGATTTACAGTCTCAGAAGCCTTATAGTATAGAGTTGCCGTGAGTCCGATTTCACTCAATGGCAGTGAGTTTTGGGGGTTTTAGTGATTCTTGTAAGGGTGATGTGAAAATTTGCAAGTAGATGATGGTAATGGTGAAACAACACGATACAACTAATGCCATTGAACTATACACCAAACAACATTGAAATGGCAAACAATGCGTTACGTACATATGTTCCCACAATAAAAATGAAGAAACAATTAAAAACAGGTGCTTAGGGCTAGGGAAGGACATCTCCTTTTGATTATATTTTGGTAGTCATTGGGAAAATGATCAAATCCTTTAATTTCATGAACATGAGGTTTCTCTGAGGTGGCAAATTTCAAGAGGTATTTTATCCTTGTATATAAAGAGCCCTTCCTTTTCCACTTAGGTCAGGCTGAAAGGGAGAAATGTAGGAAAAAGTCAGCTTTCTTTCCAAACTTTTCTACTTCTACCTTTTTCTCTTGTAACATGTGAGCAAGGTCAATGTCCCCGACACACGGTGCTGCTGCCAAGGCTGTCAACACACACACAGATCAACCCATCAGTACATGGGAAGAATGATACTGGAAACATACAGGAGTAGTCATTCATGAAGAAAAGGTCGAGGTAATTCAGGAACTTCCTCAAAGAATGGGGAATTCGCCTTCTTTTCACAAATTCCTACAGTCTTGTCCTCAGAACAGGTATGACTAGGGATTTACGATAATTCTGATAAACAGCTCCCTCAACTTTACTCTCTAAGCCCTCCACGGTCATAAACGGTTATGAACAGGCTCTGAGAAGTACGGAGATGGAGGCAAGAGCTGGTTTCAAACCTGAGACCCTTGAGCAGTGACAGTAATCTAGGGCTAGTTCAGGGCTCGATGTACCCTCTGCCTCCACCAGGGGCCCTCGTTGGCCCCTCAACTAGAAGGACTTTCCCCGGCCTCTAAGCTACTACACGTGGGTTCAGGCTTGGACTGGAATCATTGGGGTCTTCATGTCAACTACTGCGTTAGTTAATTGTGCCAGCCTGGCCAATAATCACATGTGGGGCTAGTTGAAAGGCGGAGGGATAAATAGGTAGTGAGCCTCGCCTTTCTAGTTCTCAGGTCTCTTGCTTTGTGATGGTTGCACCAGGGTGCAGCTGCCTTAGCAGTTCCCTGCTTCAGCTTGCAAGATTGACATCCTACAAGACATCCCCAAGGAGAAGCCGCATGGACCTACCCCGATGCAGCCCTGGGTGCTGGAGCAGCCGTGTGGGTGTGGAGACCCCTGCTAGTGCTGAGATGCTTATTCGTTTACTGACTCAGCTTTCCTCCTGCAGTCGGCCTCATTGCCTCTGTTTTGTGAGGTGGAGGACTTTGTGGACTGGTATTAGGTTAAAGGGTTAATGTTGGACTTGTGGGCTTGGGCAGCATTGGGTTGGGATGTTTTCGTGATGCACATTTTCTTTACATAAAACTCTCTCTTATCCATGAGTTGCTGTGGATTTGTTTCTCCAAAGTACCTAGACTAATACAACTACCGTAGCAGCATTCCTCATTATGGGCCACGACTCTAGAGCTAAGCAGTCTGTCCTTGTGAGTAAACTAGGGACAGTTACTGGTCAGGGATGAGGTCCCCAAGATACTCGTCAGTCCTGACAGGGAGAGAAGGTGGCCTTCATCTTCACTTCATAACCAGTGTCCCAGTCCACTGGCCCAGTGTCTGGCATATACAAGTTACACAGTCGGTGATGGTTAAACTGATAACATTAGCATCCCAAAGTCCAAGGCTTCCAGCCCCTCTGGAAGTCTAGAAGTCCCTCTAGAGCACTGGTTCTCAACCTTCCGAATGCTGCGACCCTTTAATACAGTTCCTCATGTTGTGGTGACCTTCCCAACCATAACATTATTTTCGTTGCTATTTCATCACTGTCATTTTGCTACTGTTATGAATTGGGCGACCCCGGTGAAAGGGCTGTTCAAGCCCCAAAGGGGTCCTGATCCACAGGTTGAGCGCCTCTGCTCCAGAGGGTCATGTAGTTGTCCAGCTCTGTGGACTCTGTCACAAATGACTTTGAGACCACTCCTGATGATACAGCCCTCCATAACCCCTTAAGAAAAGGTTTATTTTTCATCTGAAATCATTTTCACTGTAAAACCAGGTTTTAACTACGATTCCAGTAACAGAAAAAAACAAACACATTTTTAAACAAAAAGAAAAGCCAAACAAAGAGCACACACGAATGCCCTCACTTATTTCGCAGAACAAAAGGGACTGACTCGCCTCTTCATCTCTCAAGGTTGTCGTTGCTGGGTGACGTCAAGTGGGTTCCGACTCAGAGCGATCCTGTGCTCAGCAGCACTAACCACTGACCCACGCCTGTGCCACCCCAACCCTTGTCCTGCTGGAGACCACTTCTGCGACGACTATGTCAACTCATGTCTCTGGAGGGTCTTCCTCTGTTTCACTGACCCTTGACTTACCAAGCACGATGCCCTTCCTTAGGGACTGGCCACCCTTGATGGCATCTCCAGGGTACATGAGATGAAGGCGAACAATCTTCACTCCAACGAAGCAATCTGAGTTTACTGCCCCCAAGGCCGATGTGTTTGGTTTTCTGGCAGACCATGGCCATTTCAATATTCTTTGCCAACACCAGAGTTCAAATGCATCAATTTTTCCTCCTGTCTTCTTTATTCATTGTCCAGCTTCCAAATTCTTACGAGGTGATTTAAAATATCATGGCTTGGCTCAGGCACACGAGTCTTTGAAGTGATGTTTTGGCTCTTTCATATTTTAAAGTGCGGTGTGTTTGCTCAAGGCAAAACACCAGTTCATTTCTTGACTGCTGCTTTCATGGCCATTGATGGCAGACCCAAGAAAAATGAGATTCTTGACAACTACTATCTTTTCTCTATTTATCACAATGTTGTTTATTGGTTTAGTTGTGAGGATTCTTTATTTTCTTTACATTGAGTCATTATCCTGACTGAAGGATGCAGTCTTTGATCTGCATCAGCAAATGTTTCAAATCTTCTTCACTCTCCATAAGCAAGGTTATGTCACCCGCATATGGCTCGTTGTTCATGAGCTTTCCTTCAATCCTGATGGGGTATTTCTCTTTATATCGTCCAGTTTTTGGATTATTTGCTCGGCAAACAGATTGATGGGAAGAGACAACCCTAACACCCTAACACAAACCTTTCTTCATTTTAAACCATGCAGTATTATTCCCTTGTTCTGTTAAAAAAACTGTCTCTTGGTCTATTTACAGGCTCCACATGAGCACAATTAAGTGGCCTTGGGTTCCCATTCTTTTCAATGTTATCCCTAGTTTGCTATGATCCACACAGTTTGTGTGGTTAATAAAATATAAGTAAATATTTTTCTGGTATTCTCTTTCAGCCAGTATCCCTCTGTTGACAGCTATAATATCATTTTTTCCCATATCCTCTTCTGACTCTGGCTTCAATTTCTGGCAGCTCCTTGTTGACACACATAGCCTTTGTTGAATTATCTTTGGCAAAATTTTGCTGTCATGTTATATTGATGATATTGTTCAATAACTTCTGCATTGTGTTGGGTCACTGTGATAGTTAGGTTTATTGTGCCAACTTGGTCAATAGGAACATGTGGGATTAATCAGGTTGTAGTTTGATTGGAGGGCAAAGAGATAAATGCTCTGCCCCCCTCTCTCTTGTGATCAGAGTGTGCTGGAGTGTGCTGCTGCTTTAGCTAGTTCTCTGCATCAACCTGTGAGCTACACTATCTGTGGGACAAGCCAACCCATGGATTGTGTAGTTAGAGCTGGAGGCTCCTTTGAGACCTGCTTCACCATGCTGTTGGTGCATACATCACTTGAGCTTGAGGCTGGTCGATCCTATTGCCTTGCATTGCTTGCGATTGATATCCCATCCAGGCCTGCTTTGTTAAGCTCCCCAGCTACTGACTATTGGTGACCCACCCTGCTGCTTGCTGCCTGTAGGCACACTCTGCTTGCCTTGCCTGAGGGAGGACTCCATTGTCTACTTCCTTGACCTTGGACCTGGCAGCCCTCATTAGTCAAAAGAGTTCCAGTATATTATCTGTTCCACAGAAGTGAGTTGAACTGAACCCTCTGTACTGCTGTATAGATGAATTAGCTGTTATATCCCTTCTCACTGTATAAGCATATCCATATATATTCATAAGTGTCCTGGTTTTGTTTCTCTAGAGCACCACACCTAACCAGTCACCTTTCTTTGCAATGGCCACAAATATAGAGCTCTTCCAGTTGGTTAGCTATTTTCCAAGGTTCTTGACAGACTAGGGAGTACTT